AGTTTGCCTGTCCCCAAGGGATGCTGGCAGTCCATGAGTATGGACTTTGTGTTTGGCCTTCCCAAGGATAAGGCGGGAAACACAGGTATAGTGGTCTTTGTAGACCGATTGAGCAAGATGGCTCATTTAGCGGCAGTGCCGGACACCATTGATGGTGAAGGTACAGCTTTGCTGTTTTTAGACCGAGTCTTTCGCCAACATGGCTTGCCTGAGGCAATTGTCTCGGATCGAGATCCGCGCTTCACCGCGAAGTTCTGGACGTCCCTCTTCAGAGTGCTCGGCACTCGTTTGGACATGTCCACGGCGGACCATCCGCAGACCGATGGTCAAACCGAACGCGTGAATCGCGTTGTGGAGGATACCCCCCGAAGCGTATGCGCTGAGGCGCCAAAACGCTGGAGCCAGATGCTGCCACTCGTTGAGTTCGCATTAAATAATGCAGTGCACGCCTCGACAGGCTACACTCCGTTCTATGTGAACGGCTTGGTTAACCCTCGCGTCCCACTGACGCCGCCACGCAGTGGCTCAGGGCTTGGTGGGGGAGGGATAGCCGAGCGGCTAGCTGATGTCAGCCCTGTTGCGGTTCGCAAGCAAGTCGATGACTTTTGTCTCTTTGAGACTGAGCGTAATGCGTCAAGTACGCGACGCTATGGCTGAAAGCCAAGACACGCAAAAGGAACATGCAGATCGCCAAGGGGCAGAAGCAATGTTGAGAGGTTTGAGGTCGGTGACCAAGTTTTATTAAACGCTAAAAACCTACCTACTCATGCAGTGTCTGCAGTCTTCAAGACGAAGTTAAGACCTCGGTTCATAGGACCGTTCAAGGTCGTGGCCAGGAAGGGCCTAGCGTATACGCTCAACCTTCCGAAGAAGATGCGCACGCATCCGGTCTTCTATGTCGGCTTGCTTAAGCCATACCAAGACCCTGCTCAGGTGAGCGCGGAGGCGTTGGCACCAACGGTGGCTGGGCCACGGACAGCTGCAGGGCAGCAGGTGGTAGAGCCACGGGAGGCTGAACGACAGCAAGTGGTGGATCCACAGATGGCTGATCAACAGCATGTGGCAGAGCCACAGGTCGCGGAGCGAAGTGCTCGAGATGCAGGAGCAAGGCAAGCTGAACGTTCAGCCGAGCAGCTGGACGCTCAAGGTCCGAAACCTGGTTGTGAGTCAACAGTGGTGGCTCTAACCTATCCACAAGGTGGATCATCTCTTCGAGATCGACCGATGGGCGGTGAACGTTCGCGTCGTGGACGCCGGCGTCGTATGGACGCAGACGCCGTTCCGGCAAGTGCTGACTCTCCCCGCGAGAGCCCAGCTGAGGCAAGGCCTCCTCCTGCTCTGCTCGATGAGCATGGTGAGCTCCACTTTCACGTGGAACGCCTTGTGGCGTGGCGTAGACGCCAGGGTCGTACCCAGTACTTAGTGAAGTGGAGGGGCTACCCTCACTCACAGAACTCATGGGAGTTTGAGGTTATCCTCCGGCAAGATTGCCCTGACGTCGTTGACGCTTACGACCGGGCACATCATGTGCCGAAGCGCCACCATGGCGTGCGACAGCGTCGCCAGGCGCTGGCGCCCTCCTCACTAGAGTGGGGAGCGATGAGGTCAGTAGTTGAGCTCAGGCTCTGACCAGTGGCTGCAGCAGCCAGCTCGTACGTAT